TTCAATGTCAAATCCAAGTGCATCCAAATCCAAAGCAGAGAAAAGAAGTTTTCAATCTCCAAAACAAATCCAAAGTGCAAAAGTATGAAAAGGAATGAGTTTCTAGAGAGAAAAAACGTAAAAACAAAGTCTGGAAGTCGAATAATGAACCCTAGGACCGAAATCTGATGTTAAAATTCCGTCCTTGAAATTCGCACCGGTAAAGTCGCGAGTCGCGAGATCATCAACTCCTCAGTCGCGAGTCGCGCGTCGTCATTTTCTTTATATTCTTGGGCTGGTCGCGAGTCGCGACTCCATCTCGCGAGTCGCGACATCGTCTCACAACTGCACCTTTAGCCCCAGTTTTTCTCGCGGGTCACGACATGTTCGCGAGTCGCGAGAAATTTTGGGCGCTTTTTCTGTCCGTTTTTCAGTCCTTCCTTTAGTCTACTGAGCTCGGCAACGGGTATTCTCGATATCATGATCTCGGTTCAAGCAGTCCCAACCTCGACCGGCACAACCTACCTCCTGAATACACAAACACGGAAAAACACGAAGCAAAACACGGCAAAAAGACACAAAAATATAAACTAAAGACAAAAACACAAAAAAAAAGAAATGGACCAAATAAACTACAAAAAACCTACAAATGGGGGAAAACAAAAAGAAAATAAACATGAAATAAAGACACAAAAATGGGACAAACAGTTACCTCAACTGATCGCTTGCCAAGAACGACCGGATAGCTGCAGCATCCTCTTCTGGGACATCCCCAAGTCCACAGAAATCTTCTCTGCCCCTGTATTGATTCAGAGAAGAACCCTCATCGTCGTCACTCTTGTCACCCTCATACATTACATTACAAAATAATTAGTTGGTTATATGAAAACAACACGAACAATCACATAAATTACAAAAATAAAATTGCTAGTTTAATTAACACATCATCAACCAAGGTCACCAACTGCGATTATTTTTCTTTCTTCTTTTTCTTCTGCCTCTTCGGACCGGATGACGGAGGGGTCATAAGATCCACCGCCTTCGTCTTCTTCTTTCTGCTTACCCTCTCCCGGACCCTCTTCACCATTGAGGAGGGCTGTTGTTTCTTCTCCACCCTCAAACAAGCCGATTCCTCCCCCAAACCAGCCTCCTTCACCACAAGGTTTTCCAGCCGGTCCAAGTCTTCAAACTCATTCACAACAGGTTGATTTTCAATAACCATCAGAGCCCATTGTTTTTCCTCCTCTTTTACATTGACCACTTCTTCCTCCTCCTCTTTTTCTTTCTCCTCTTTTCCTCCTGTTTTTCCTCCTCCTTCTCCTCTTTTTCCTCAGCAAATCCAACACCATCACCACCATCAGCCTCTTTTTCCTCACTTTTTTCCTCTCTTTCTTTTTCTTCGTTATTTCTTTCTCTCCAGTGAGAATCCAACAATTGAATTCTTTTTTTAAGTTCATCATTTTCACGACAAACGATGGCATAGTCTGTTCTCAAACTTTCCCTGTACATGAAAGAAAAATAAAATTAAAGGAAAACATAAATTAAAGATACTTGTACCTATGAAAATATACTAATGTTAAAACATAAATTCTCGACAAAAATTAAAGGAAAAACCTGGGCTTCCACAAACGCACGCTCCTCTGAAACAGGCGATACCGAATACACCTGCAAAGCAAATCATAATGATTTAAGTACAATATTGATTTACCAAAAAGATAAAAAGAAGAAGTAGAAAACACATAATACTATAAAATTATATAAATTACCTTATGCCTCATTATTTTTTTAAGGGATAGTAAAGAACCTTCAAATGTAGACGGCATTGTGCTCCCCGTCCATCGAAATAGATGGGGAATCGCCTCGAGCGTTGAACGTTTGCCCAGAGAAGGCACATGCTCGTACAACCAAGCCTACACACATACACATGATTTCAAAATTACACAATCTATTAATTTAATATTATTGTATTAAGACATTGAAACACATATATACATACCATCAGCCCAACGACACATCCATCAAAGTAAGCTCCGTCTCTAGATTCACCATGGCGAACAAGCTCTGCAAGCAAGAATTTATGAGTAGCATCTCCCCATGCGTACTCACAAATTCGACTCACATCCTCCAAGTTTGGAGATATAATAACTCGAACAAGGAAACAAAATGCAACTAAAAACGAGCAAACTATACATCCTGATGAAGTCGTCTACACGACCTTCATCAACAGCAAACTTTTCTAACAGATCTACGACATGCTTTCTTTTCAACAGTTTTATATCTACTCGACCCCAGCAGCCGAATAAGGCTTTTGACTCTAAAGAAAGGTCTAAGTCCACGCTTAGACACCCCTGTCGTAGCCCCATAGTTATACAAAACTCGGCGGGGTCGAAATTAAGAAACAAATTATCACCAAGAACAAAGGCATTCAAGTCTACCCTCTACGTGCTAACTAGAGCCTTAACTCTACTAGGCAAAACTGCTACATTGGGCATATTCACAAAAAAATAAAAAGGGCTCCGTTGAAGAGCCTCTTTGTGGTTGTCCGAGAGCACAGCAACAAATCTATACATCACATCTTTGAAACATGATGGGGCACACCTGCATCTTAGTTCAGTGCCCTATCACAAATAAAGAGAATTGTTAGGAAAAAGATGTTATATGTACAAGTTTCAGAACATTCAATACAATATACATTCTTTCTTTATATGAAAATGCTAAAAGAATATAATGTTCTCAGAAATTCATTTACAAAATTTCAATTATAGCCCTAAATTATTCGAATTTAAGCCCTAAAATTATGAAATTCACAGAAATTCACAAAATTTCAATTACACAAAAGGCACTAATTTCGAATTCAAGCCCTAAATTGAAAAAAACCCTAATTTTCAAATTCACAGAAATTCACAAAAGTTCAATAAATCCGAATTCATAGAAATTCACAAAAATTCAATTACACAAAAAGACCCTAATTTCGAATCAAGCCCTAAATTAAAAAAAAATCCTAATTTTCGAATTCAACCCCTAAATTGAAAAAAAAAACCTTAAAATTAGGAACAATGCCCAAAAATCAGAAATTACCCTTGAGCTTGGTAATGCCTTCATGGGTGTCGAGGAGGACAGTTTGCATGGAGATTCCTTTTTGGAGCCGGCCACAGCTTCACAGAGAGACGAACGGCGAGTGACAGAGAGAGAGTGACGAAGATGGCGGGCGATGGTGATGAACGAACAGAGAGAGAGAGAGCAGAGATGGCGATGGCGATGGCGACGAACGAACAGAGAGATAGAGCAGAGATGGCGATGGCAACGAACAAACCGAGAGAGAGCATAGATGGATGGCGACGAAAAAACGAACAGAGAGAGAAAGAGCAGAGATGGATGGAACAGAGAGAGAGAAGAGACAACGACAAGGAGAGAGAGAGAGACTTAAAAATGAATTATCATATATTAAAGCAAAAAATAAATGAATAATAATAACCTTACTTTATATATGAGGAGTGAAATGGAAAGAGAAAATTAGGGGTAGGGAGTGCAGAGAAAAAAATTAGGAGGAAGACTGATTTGGAAGTTGAAAAGGAGAAAAGAGATTTAAGTAAAATTTACCGTTTAAATAAAGACAAGCGTTCTTATTTGGATATTAATTTGAATAATAAATGGGAAGATTGAATTGGAGAACAGACCAAGTAATATTATTTTTAAACAATAAACATTAATTATTGGTTTTATTTATTTATTTATTTATTTTCTCCGCCACAATATGATTGAAGGTCATTATGTCAAATATTAATAAGTAAATCAATCTCTTAACCGAATCTTAACTAAAATAATAATATTCGTGTATATGGATGAAATAATGCAACTAAATTCGCACGGTTTATCAACTTACTCCACCAAACGAATATTTTTTTAAGAAAATAATTTTTATATTGTTGTGCATTTTCAACAAACAATGAATCCAAATCTGCAGATATCCGAAAAAAACGGTTAACATCAATATATTTTGAGTCTTATTTTGCTTTTCAATAGATATTAACTATTTAATAGTAGTCTTGTCCAATCAGCTGCTTATAGCTATTTTCAACGGGTTGATTATTAACATAATCCATACATTTAAAGCCATTTAGGTTTATATCTTCAACTATTTTATTTTTTGCTCAAAGTCAAGCACACAAGTTCATAAGTACGTGTGGATCATCTTGTGCTTACTTTTGTTAAGCACACAAAGATTATATCCTGCTCAATCAATTATTTCAACCAAACTGACCGTAATTATAACATTGTTTAGCATTTAGCGTATAGCGAATATTTGATATTTCATTGCTCACCATTCAAAGTGTAGCGAATATTTGATAGTTGATTGAATTAGTTGATTGCGGATAACGTTTGATATTTCATTGCTCACCATTCAAAGTGTAGCGAATATTTGATAGTTGATTGAATTAGTTGATTGCGGATAACGAATTGAATTAGTAGATTTGACTAACTAACTGAATTAGGATTATCCAAGTTGTTAGGCAAATAGTTAGTTGTTTGATATGAAAAAAACAACTAATTTTATAAATTTTTATTCCAAAAATGTCATATACTAAACTTTTTTTAAGTGAACTTTATGAATTAAAAATAATATTTTAAATAGTCATTTACCAAATGATTAACTTATAGGTTATGATAGATCACACATCTAATTTAACCCCCAAAATATTGATTACCAAACTTGATTACAATTAGTATGTATGGTAATATGACGGTTTGTAATTCTTTTAAAACAAAAATGCATATTTATAGTGTAAAAAATATATTTTTATTTATATTATCTTTTAAGTATGATATTTTAGCGTAAAAGTTTGTGCATTNTCTAACAATTTCTCATTGATTTTACAACCTAAACCTCAAATAAGTAACAAGATTTCTACAAATTTATTCCATGATTCTCATAAAATTTATTGTTGGCTTTTGCATAGACATACAAATTAATGATCAGCGAAAGAAGCCAAATACAACACATAGCTCCAATTCTACTAATTTTATTCAGTATTTCTTGTAAAATTTGCTGTTACAATAAATGTACCTTTTGTATAAACCTGCAAATTATCAACTAAAGAAGCAAAATACAACTGTTCACACAATCGTTAATCTCTATAAGGCCATTGAATTGAACACAGCACAATTGAACATTCAACCGATGTCGTGCCCGGCTCAATCTATGGAGCTCACGGCTCTGATCTCTTTGCGACGGTGCACACTCAGACAGCTGAAACAGATCCATGCCGTCGTAACAACGGCAACCCTGATCGGAATTCCAGAGGTCCGATTGAAGCTTCTCCGCCGGAGCACCGAATTCGGGGAAATGGACTATCCGGAGAGGATCTTCGTCCAGATGGGCGGCCCGGCCGCGGCGGAGACGCCGCTCTGGAACGCGATGGTCAGAGGCTACGCGTACAACGGGCCATACTTGAATTGCCTGAAACTGTTGGATGAAATGTCCCTGAGAAGCCTCTGCCCGAACAACCACACGTACCCTTACGTTCTGAACGCCTGTTCACAGATGGGTTTGTTCGGAGTCGGCCGGAAGGTTCACGGCCGTGCTCTGAAGTCCGGGTTTCTGTGGGCGTTTACTGTCGGTAATGCGCTTTTCGATTTTTACGTAAAGATGGCCGAGTGTTTGGAGGGCGTGAGCTCAAGCTATGCCCGTAAAGCGTTCGACGAGACGTGCGAGAAAAAAGTCAACTTGTGGAATAAAATGATCGGAAAATACGTGAACGAGGATAATGTCAAGAATGCAAGGAAACTGTTTGATGAAATGCCCGAACGAGACGCAGTTTCTTGGAACACCATGATTTCGGCATATGCGAAAGCCGGTAACCTGGCAGCTGCTTGGCACTTATTCAAGCGTTCGCCGTGTAAGAATGTGGTGACGTGGACAACAATGATTGGAGCCCACGCCGCAAAAGGAGACGTGAAAACGGCCCGTGAGGTGTTCGACACGATGCCGGACAAGAATGTCGTCTCTTGGAATTGCATGTTCGCGGGCTACAACCGTGCAGGCGAATTTCAAAAGGCGCTCGATTTATTTTCCATAATGCAGTCCGAGAATGTGGGCCCGGATTCTTACACACTAGCCTCGGTCCTAACAGCTTGTTCCTACATGAGCGACCTCGAGTTAGGGAAACGGGTCCACTCTATGATATGGGATTGGCCAAAGACTGGCATCATAGTGGGGTCCGCTCTCGTGCAGATGTACGCAAATTGTGGGGACATTGATCGAGCTTTCACCACATTCGTCAAAATCGGGCACAAGGACGTGTTTTGCTATAACATCATGATCAAGTCACTTGCCATTCACGGTCGAGCCAAGGATGGAATCGAGATTTTCGACCTAATGTTGAAGAGAGGGCTAAGGCCGAACGAGTACACCTACTCGTGCGCACTCTTTGCGTGTAGCCACGGAGGTTTAGTAAAGGAGGGTCGCACGATTTTCGAGGGGTTGGAGAGGGATTCGGACGTGGGCCCAAGTGTTTATCACTATTGTACAATGGTTGACTTGCTATGTAGGAATGATTGTCTTGAGGAAGCTAAGTCGTTGGTGGATGGTATGAAGGTCGAACCCGATATTGCCGTGTGGGGAGCTTTATTGAAGGGTTGTGAAGAAAGGGGCAATCTTGGATTGGCGGAAAGTGTGAATCGTAAGGTGGTTAAGTTGGGATCTGACGAGGCTGGGGTTCACGTGCTTTTGTCCAACATTCGTGCCTCGATGGGTGAATGGTCCGGTAAAGTCGAAGCAAGAAAGCTAATGGACGAGACTCGAATATGGAAGAGAGCAGGGAGTAGCAGTATTGCTTGATGATCTTTCGCAGTCGACTTCAAAGAGCACATTTTTGTAGGGGAGTCGAGTAGTAGAAGTTCTTGTGAAGACAAAGCATCATTACACACAACAGTCCTCATCGAATTTTTTACCATTCAATCAATCACACTCCCATATTAGTTTGTATTTATCCAACAGTACCAATATTTTACCATTGGATCACACACAGTCTCACATGGGTGTGTGTTAACCCAATAGCATAAAACGCGGTGAGATGAGGGCAGAAGAATGATTTTTTCCGCAGACACAACTAACACATGCCAGTAATTACAGCAAAATTTAATTTTTATACATGAAAACCAGAAGCTACATTTACAAACTGCTCTGTGTTACTTTATTATTACATGTATTAAATGTCTAAAAGGGCTCAAGACCACTAGAGCTCACAATTCTGTGACTAAAACAGCCCTAATTTGTTACATATCAGCACATAATCCAATACAACTGCACAGGTCACTTTCCAAATTTAGTTTGCCTCCGAGATTAAATAAATTGTACATAGTACTATCAATATGCCAAAAAACATATGTTCAGAAAATGAAAGGAACTCAGCAACACAAACATCGTACTTAAGTTCTAGGCAGTTCCACGAAAATCCACCCAAATTCAAATTGGATGATCAATAGTTTCGATAATATTAGAAAATAGAAGGCAAGTTTAGCGAGGTCCTTCCACTATAAGGGAGAAATTATATGATAAGAAGCATAATTTGACAAGCTCATCCTCAAGATAATTAGTCGCTTTCAATTTTCGACTGGTTTTAGTTCAGTCCCTGAAGAATCTATTGATGGATCATGTTGAACTGAAACCTCGATAGCTGCTGTGGAATGGTAGATATAACAGGTCCGTATCTCTGGCAGGCAAAAAATAAAAATAAAATAAAATAAAATTATCATCGCTTAAGATGAAACTAGCAAATGTTTGGATGAAAAAGAAAGAGCTATATTCATAACACAAAGTAACTGGTAGCAAAGAATTAACTAATGATAATAATCATAATAACAATAAAAAAATATGGAGTTGCTAAGTCGACATCTGGATTTATAAACAAATATAAACCTGCAAGTAGAATAGCCACAAAAGTTATCATACCTGAACATTGTCATATAGTTCAAATAATGGAACAGCAAGGAGCTTCAAGTTCTTTGGCACAGCAAAATACTCACGTTCAGACAGATGAACAAGGAAAAGCTTCTTGCATTCCTGTACAGCGAAAATATACGACTGTAAAATGTTTCATTTGAACTCGTATAACAGTGTCAGGGTCTAAGGAAGGTGGTGAACCTACCTTAGGCTTTGTGATGTGTGGAGGGCAATAAGGGTACATAATAGTTTCGAAATTTGGTCTCCACCACATAGCCACACACTCACCAATCTGCATCACGTTTTAACGATGGTCATTGATTTCAAGAGTATGGCCAATAAAACAAGAAACTAGTCAAAGGTCAGTTCAGGCCCAATGTGACAAATCGGCTAATTTTAATATGCAACTCGACACTAAATAAGTATGAGCATAAAATATGAGATGACATTACATCAGAACTATGGTTCAGAAGCTCTTCCAACCAGATAATCCAAGAATTTAACAAATGTCACTAATGTTCACAAATCAAAACTTCTAAGTAGTCCATCAAAAACTTAAACCTGCTTCCTTAATTAGTACCTGCCAGTCTGGCTGAAGAGAAGGGGAATTAGCAGCAAGTTTACTTGATAATTTCCTTTTCAACCCCTCAATCTCTGTAAAGAAACATAGTAATATACAAAACTAAAGATAGAAATCCAGTCAAGCAAAATCCGGATGAGACAATCAGAAATTTGTCCATCTTCTTATCTTAACAACGTCAAGTTTGAACTTAGTAAATGCAAGGACAAGAATTGAAACAAAACTTGATACCATTCTCTCCTGGCTTCAACCTGCCCCCTGGAAGTTTACAGAATGTATTTCCAATTTGCAAAAGAAGAATATGAGGATGATTATGCTCTTGAACCTGCAAATCCAAATACAAATTTCTTCTCTTATGAGCCAAGACCATAACAATCAGATTATTCTAATTACATGCACTGCAGAGGGAAAGAACTTTTGATAAGAATTACGTCAGGGACAGTCATGGAATTTTAACATTGACATATGAATCAATTTGACAATATCGAATCTATTATTTGAAGACTTCTTAATGAAGAAGAAGCCAACAAGGTCATGAGATAAAATGTTATCCCAGATAACAAGACAATGACATATTTATTCAGTTTGTTTTTTACAAGAGAAAAAAAAAAAAGTTCATACAAAAATCAGTTATCAGCACATCATTACACGAATACATCATTTTATCCTCATATTGATCAATTCAACCTCACACCCGGATAAAAATAAGCAACCAGATTCCACCAATTTCGCTTTGAACTCTCCATTGAGAACAACAAATCCAAATTGCAAGAATGAGAATATTAAGCAACACAGTTCAAGACTTCCATAACTACAAAGATATCTAGAAACCAATTAACCAGAAAATGAATCAGATACAGACAGCCCACAACACCAATTTTGCAAATCGAAAAAGTACAACTCATACCAGCAGAATTCCCTCGACGCTGGTCCTCATACCTTCCTTCATGTAGCTGCAACTCAAAAACCCAACAAAAATTCATACCCGAAATACAAACATATTCTTCACTGAGGATATTACAATAAACCCTAGATACATTAGCTAGGCCCGTTCCAGGGTTTTACAATTACAATAAATCAAAAAAATCGAACAATACACAACAAATAAAACAAACAGGAAAAAAAAATCAAGAAAGATACAAAAAACACGGACTTGACTTTCATGCGGGCGAGGCGATCGGCGACGGAGGTATCTTTCTCCATTTTGGGCTCCTTGGTGCCGAAGGTGTAGCTTGACAAAGGGTATGTATTTACAATCTGCGATGCAACCATTTTCATTACCTTTTCCGCGATGCGAATTTTTCACCTTGCTTTCGATTTAGCTTCTTTTTTTTTTCTCTCCTTAATTTTGTGGGAGCAAATTGATTTTGGAGCCGTCTGCAAAATTCACAGTGCCGAGCGGGGGAGAGAAAAGTAGTAGCTCGGGAGGAGGCCACTGTGTGTGGTGCAGAAACAGCGATATATGAAAGCGTGTTGGATTTTATCAGTGTTAGTTCGAATTGGAAGAATTGGATGAATAATCACAGGAGTGGATCCGTGTCGGCTTGGCGATTGTTCTAGTCAAAATTTGTAACACTGGAATTTGGGTTGGACTGTGGCAGTTTTGGCCCAAAGAAAAAGGAGGATTTGGGCCTTACTTGAGAGTAATAGCTNATAATGAATAAAACATCTCACGGATCAACACAAATCCGAATGAATATGTGTATTGATGTATGATGAAAAAACTCGATAACTAATTCATAGGATATAAATCTAAGTGAAAACAAAATGGCAAAAGGCCAAAAGCTGGCATGCAATTTTCGTGATATTTGACTGACCACATTGACTGAAACAATTAAGCTAATAAGTTAGAACTGTTCCAGATATGTACTGATTGCTGATGAATGTGATTAACCGTCCAATTATTATTATAGTAATCGAAACACATTAATGAAAAATCAAATCAATCTGTTCAAATATGACTATGAGTATTAAGTACTCGTGTGCTTATTGGTCTGACCTCTGAGAAAATATACATTAACACCTATTAGAGAATTGATGGGTCACCAAATGACGAGTCCTTTTCACTGTTTTGCACCCAACTCTTCTGACATATGTTCGATTATTATTGTTAAAATATTAGTTGTGAGTTGTCCCACATCATCCATACAAAAAAAATAAACTCACCTTATAAGACTAATGGACTACTCCTCCTTCCATTAACTGGTTTTGGAATGGAACACCATCTGGGCTTCATATGGGCTTTTCCCCGTTCATAGTGCGCTTCATGATAGTGGGCCCGCACCCGTTTTCCTCCAGTTTCTGTCATGGTATCAGAGTCGGTTCTATGTGGGACCACCTGTTTTTTCTAGCCAATTGGGCTTGGGCTTCCGAATGACTCACCGGTTCTATGTGGGACCATAAGACTAATGGATTACTCCTCCTTCCATTAATTGGTTTTGGAATGGAACCCCATTTGGGCTTCATATGGGTTTTTCCCCGTTCATGGCCCACTTTATGATAGTGGGCCCGCACCCGTTCTCCCCCAGTTTCTGTCATGGTATCAGAGCCGATTCTATGTGGGACCACTTGTTTTTTCCAGCCAATTGGGCTTGAGCTTCCGAAGAACTCACAAGTGAGGGGGTGTGTTAGAATATCAGTTGTGAGTTGTCCCACATCATCCATACATAAAAATAGACTCACCTTATAAAACTAATGAGTTACTCCTCCTTCCACCAATTGGTTTTGGAATGGTACCCCATTTGGATTTCATATGGGCTTTTCACCGTTCATGGTGCGCTTCATGATAATGCGCCCGCACACCGTTTTCCCCCAGTTTCTGTCAATTATGTATACTCTTTTTTATTTTTTCATCTTAAACATAATGATGTGGTAAAATACTTTTTGTAAAACACAATTTTTTGTGTGACTAGCATTAGTTAGTTTACAATGATAAGTTTTGAATAAAAATATATAATTATGTTATAAAGTGGTGTTGTTTGACGAGCGTTATCGATCAACAGTTAATTAGAGATTAAATGGTGTTGTTGACTGAATTTTCGAATGCTATCAAGAAATGTCAGGTTATAATTGGCTCCAACTATCGCGATACGAATCATAAAAAATAAAAAGAGAAATCTAAGATGATTCAAGAGATTGGTAATATTCCTGTTCGCTCAGGTCGGCCGTTCGTATTGATAGCTCGGACTAATGCGTCCATTCATATTTTTCATCAAGAAATTTAATCTCGTGTTTTCTTTCTATTTTTTTCATCATCGATTTTTTGGGTCATAACGTAAGACTATTTATAGTAAATATGTAGCTCGGAAACTGTTCATCGTTTCATACAATGCACATTTAATTGATTCGACGTGCGCATTTAATGCGTCAGGCTACCCTACGAATCTAGGACTGACTACCCGTCAGGTTAGGTGGCGGAGATGTGATCTTTCATAATTAGATTGCAAAGTGGCCTTTATTTTATTGCCCTATGCCCCATCTGTCGACCTAGCTCAGGTTGGCGCCCACATCTCGATTCTTGGGTCGCCGCTTGCAGCTCAACTCTTTGTCGCTTGATGACTGACCTACGCATTCAGCTAGGTTCTCTTATTACAGGCCACGGCCCACATTCAATTCGGGGGTCAACAGGTGTACTTTTATTCATGTTGTTGTTCACCGAGTATTTTACATGATACAATATATTATCCGTTAATACAATCCTTTAGTAAAATTAACTATTACAATCTGCTATCAGCTATTTATGAATACAATCTATACTTATATTAAAGGGGGTACTATTTACCACATTAAGTAGCCAGAAAAGTCAACAACATTTATTGCATTACTATTTCTGTATTATACTATATAAAAGGATATTCTATTTACTACATTTACTATCTAGAAAAGTCAACTGCATTAAATGTCATTACTATTTTGGTATTATAATATTTTATTTATTTAATTGATTTATTTATTTATTTTATTTTAAAAAGGTAAGTATAATAAAAAGATTTTAATAATAAAAAAATCAAATACCAAATAAAAATGTACATTTTGACTCATTTGATTATATTTGGTATTTGATTATACCAAATATATTCCTATTTAGTATATACATTAAATACTTGCTAAAGAATTTATTTGTTTTATTTGTCAAAGTTAAGTATAGATTTGTTTATATTATCAAATCATAAAAAATATTAAATCCATATTGTAAAAAAAAAATCATATAATTTTATGACAATTCTACTACACTATTTAACAATATTTTTTTTTATTATATAATAAAATAATAATTAAATATTATATGGTGAACAACAATAAGTAAAACTGTTACTTTCTCTTATATCAAGGGATAAATTTATATGCTAAAATTAAATTTTTATTAGTATAAATGTTTTAGTGAGATAATATATTAATTATTTTACAAGCTAGCCCTAACATGCTCATATTTAATGTTTTAAAAGATGTAGAAAAAAAACTTATAATAACTCTATTGTTTTTTAGACTTAAACGTTGATTAAAAGAGGTAAAAATTCTTAATTTTTTAGACTTAAACGTTGATTAACACCATAGATTGAGAGTTTATATTTAGTAAAATTCATAATTGTAATAAAAAAATTAATTTTTGCTATATTTTAGAATATCTTTAAATTAATTATTAAAAAAAAAAAAGAAAAAAAACTACAATGAAAAAAGCAAGTCAGCTATATATCGATTTGTTGTACTCCTCAAATCACATTCACAATTTGGCTACAAGGAAAGGAAACTCATTGATTAAAATATTATTTTGTCAGTAGTTTTAATGTACAAGAGACTTTAAGACTCCACTCGAATATTATAAAACTTTTATTGAACATTGTACAATTTCTTGCGTATTATAAATTTTTATTGAATATTGCATCTTATAATATAATATTCTCCAAAATAAATATATCTCGTGCTTTGCACTTACTATATATATCCCGTACATTTTTCTTTATTCATGTATATAATTATAAGTCTGGATAAATAGCCTTAAAATTGTGCACCCCGTGCATCGCACGGGCTCTGTACTAATATGTTATTATCAGCTGACCGTTAATACCATCTATGCCATCAACTAATAGCAAGTAATAAATTAAATTAGCTATTACAATCGGCTATCAGCTATCCACCAATACAATTTGGTATCAGCTAATAGCAAACAACCCGAAAGGGAATACAAGACAAAGAAATAGCATAAATTAACAAAAACTCTGTAAACAGCAAAATGAATCATGAAGACAAATCACTACAGATCAAATGTTGTCCATTTAAACTAAATATTGTCAGCATTCATAAACTCAATTCATTTGCTATTCCATGTATACAATCAGTTTGAAACAAAACCAATACTACACGAGAACAACCTCATCAAACACCATTAACCAACATTCTCTCTTCTCCTCAATCCTCAAGTTCTAACTTACAACTAACCAAATTTCAAAATTTCCAGTAAATAATTAAAAAAAAAAAAACAATTAGACCTGCATTACTTTCCTTTCTCCTTCAAAAGCCTGCAGCACCCCATCCGACCCGCCGGCCACCAACATGCACCGCCCATCTCCGGCCATCTGCCGCCAGCAAACACCGCTCACGAAATCCGGGTCTCGACCGTCCCCCTTCTGCTCCTCATCCGCCATCCGATGGAACTCCCGGTCCCAAATTGGCCGGGCCCACCTCTTGTCATACACGAAAACCCGATTATTCTCCGATCCACAGCTCAGCAGGCCCGCATCCCTCAAAACCGAGAGCCCAACAAATCTCCGGCTATTGGCGTGGCCCGTGAAAGTTCTGATCGGGCTACCGTTTTCCGTGCTCCACATAATGAGGCTCCCGTCGACTGACGACGAGACCAACGTTCGGAAATCGAGGAACCTTGTGTATGTAACGGGCCCACGGTGCCCGTCGAGCACCAAGGTTGGGCCCGAGGAGATGGCCCGGAGGTCGTACATGTAGATGGCCCGGTCTGTGCAGCCCGCAGCCATGAGCGGGCCTCCACAAGGGTCGAACTCCACGCAGCAGACAGGGCTGGGGCCGGCCCGGCCCGGACGGACTGTGGGGAGGCAGCGGCCGCCGTCGGGGCAGCGCGGGTCCCACATCTGGACAGTGCCGTCGTCGGAGCCGGAGGCGCCCAGGGGGGGAGGGCCGGGGTGGTAGTCGAGGCTCCAGACGCGGCGGCCGCCGTGCTCGTCGCGCTCGAACACGGGGGCGCGGGACTCGAGGTCGTACTCCGTGACGACGCCGTCGTAGTCGCCCGACCCGAGGAGGCGGGAGCCCGACCCGGGGCGCCACTTGAGGCTGCTGAGCTTGGCCGGGGTGCAGAGGTAGAAGTCGCAGGCGGAGGCGTGGTCGAGGAGGGCGGCGGATGGCCTCAGGGACCTCTCTGTTCCGTAGATCCTGATTTTGCGGGCGATGCCGCCGGTGGCGAGGAATTCGCCGGTCGGGTCGAATTCGACGACGCCGATGGCGTCGGGGGCGGCGGAGGGGGTGGGGGAGGAGGATATGACGGCGGAGAGGGTGAAATCCCACTCGCACCTGGGTTTTTCTTCTTCGTCGTCTTCTTCTGCGGCGTCGCCGCCGGGGTCAAGGGGTAGTTTGGGGTTTTTTGCGGGTTTTTCGCCGTCGCCGTCTCGGCTGCTTGTGGCGGCGATTGGTGGGGGAGCGGGGTTGTTCATTGCCCATTCATATGAGATTAGTTGCGGCTTTTTCGGTATTCTGTTAGATTTGTGTAATTGTGTGTGGTGTATGTGACGGTAGAGAGGATTTTTTTGATTGCTTCTATTGCTCTTTGTGCGTTTTTGTGTGTGTGTGTGTGTATTTTTTTTTCTGCTTTATTGTGGGGTTTGCTGCCACTGAGAGGTTTACTATAAGGAACCTGGTACTTTACCCACAATTTATTAAACTATTTGTCTATTTAATGTGCTGTAATTTTCACTTTTTCATTATTATAATTTTTTTTTTTCCACACTGGTCTTCGACCTAATTATTATATAAATTGATGTACTCTTGACATATTTTAAAAAATAACATAATAAAAATATGAAATTCGATAATATAAATATGCATTTTTTGTTTATATAATATGACGAATCCATCAGTCTAGCAACTTCACATAATAATTTGTAAAATCAAAACACTATTTTTTTTTTAAACTTGTGGATCACTAATTTTCATTGCATAATTTTGGATAGCTCTTGTTGAGGTGTTTCCATTCAATTCATGCATGCACATTGAAAATAGCACCTGCGCGCAAATTGCAAAACCCTTTAAACATCCTTCACTAACATACATGATTGATACATGGACAAAACTCGGGTCGGGTCACGACCCGGCCCGGCCCGCCTGGTCGCCGGGCTAAAAAACACTGATCCTGAACCGGCACGGACCTATACTCGTTCCGGGTCCGTGTCCGGGCCGGGTCGTGTCCGGGCCGTGCCGGGTCCGGACCGGGTCCGTGCTTTTTTTTAAAAAAAGTATAAAAAAATAACAAAAAAATTAAAAAAAAGGGTCATCGACTCGGCCCGGCCCTGACCCTCCGGGCTGAGTCATGAAACAAATGACCCTTACACGGCCCTTCTGAAATCTGGGCCGGTCCCGAACCCGTGGTCAACGGGTTTGACCGGGCTGGGTCCGGGCCGGGTCAGGGCCGGATCGACGGGCCGAGCGACCCTTTGGCCATGTCTACATGGACAAGATCGATCATATTACACTTAACGACTAACTGACAGCGAATAATTGATTAAATTAGCAGATTAACTTATTTGATAGCGAAATCAATTAGTTAATAGTGAATAGCTAATTAAATTAACTGACTAGCTGATTGAATTGGTTGATTATACATAAGTGTTTAGTAAATAACATTACTTTTAATGAATTAATGTGGTAATTTATCCACAAACATCTAATTTGACCTGAAAACGTTAAGTAGCTAATATACATTACTAAGTTGAAGAGGAGAAAGTTGGTTAAAGTATTAGTCACAAGGCAAATATAAGACAAAACACAAATAAAGATAGACTGATGGTTACATGTCTGCCTTCCTCAAAATAGAATGAAATAAAGCCACAAGTTAACCCCAGCAAAAGTAGGTGCATGTGTTTTTTGGGACATTTTGATTATAAAATTTAAGTTATTACTAATTATTTTGGATTTTGATTGGATTTATTGAATAAGTTAGTTAATAAAAAAATAATTGGATTTAGTTTGAGTAAAATTATGAGTTATTATTTGAATAATATCTAAAATATAATTATTAAAGTTTATACAAGTTAAAAGTATATATGAGAGATATGTTATTGAAAGCGATGAGTAGTTAAAATTGTGTAAGTTAATGAATAGTAAATTAAAGTTGATAATATTGATGAAATTATAGTTAAGTTGAGTTAAATTTGAGTTGGATTTTGAATTAAAAATTATCACGATGTCTAAATATTTTATATGCAATTAGGCC